GCTCTCAGAATGCACTAATTTTTAAAAAAAATCTTGGGGGGGGGGCCCCCAAACCCCCCCAAAGTGGCCTTCGGCAGCTTACACACACACACCCAGGGGCGGATCCAGAATTTTTGAAAAGGGGTGTCCAGGAAGAAATAAAGGGCACTTCACGTGCTCATGCATTGCCGCCCCCCCCAAAATAAAATCCTGGCTACGCGCCTGATGAGAGCCGATAAATCCTTCATAGGATCCTTGAATTTCATGAGCTGAAAAATAGTAGTTTGACCGTTTTCGGCCGAGTGGCACTATTAAAGATAGGTAGCCACGTACTTTAGCTGTGCACCATGAGAGTTTTGTCATATGTTGTCCAGTGTTTTAAAAAATCATCGCGAATTTACTAACCGACACCACATTTGTGCCTGAAAAACAGTCGCGCAGTCGAATAGTGGCCATACATTGAAAGAATTCGTTTTAAATTACCAGTAACCATCCACCCATCTCCATGTGCATGTCATTGCCACACACGATAGCCAGCCTAAATAATGCAACCACAAAACATTGCGTCAGCTAGCTTTAGTGCCCGAGCTGCGGGCCCTCCGATTTGTTGGCTGACTATGCGTCACATCCTCCAACCTAACAGGGTAGTGATTTAATAGTGGTCACGTGTCACATAAATGAATGTTACCATATTTAAATGCTAAAATGAATTTCTCATTTCTCATAGAAAAATTTATTTATATCACATATAAGCAGTGTTTTATTTCTTTCATTTGGGATGTTTACAACTTCAACATAATCCAATTTTCACCTTGAAATGCCAGGCTTGTTTCTCCGCAATACATCATTTTATTTGCAAAATCACCATTTTTCAAATCAAATAAAATAAGCTTAAGCTTTATTACATCGCGGTAGATTACCATACATGAAAAAAATAGAATGTATAAAAATGACTACAATTCAATCATTTATTATTGACAGTTATATAATGGACAGATTTTTAAGACACTATATATAGTGTCTTTCATTATATCAAAGTATCAAGCACATAGTTCACAACCACTAAACGCCCACACTAAGCGCTATCACACGCCCCTATCGCATACGATCTGCTCAGCGTCTGTCTGCGCGCACTGCCGTCCAGACGACTGGGGATGTTATCGCAGTTCCACCTGCAGAGATTTAACGGCGGCTTTGCCGATGTCGGTGTGAACGAGGTTGACCTCTGACTGTTGCAGGGTCCTCTCCATGTGTCTGTAGACGATGCGGTAGCAGCGACTCTGCTGCTGCGTCCGCGGATGTGTGAACTCATCTATCAACTTCACCTGAAGCACAGAGACACATGTTAGCTGCTGCCATGTAACATATATGATATAATATACACTCCTGATAATATCTATATAACATAATAGAACAGAACAGAATATAATAAAATCTACTACATAAATGGGGGAATCTGTCTGTCACTGTCCGTCTATCTTCTCGAGACCCGTAACAAGTGACCCCTGTTGATATACTGTGTAAACGTATGCTTGTAGGTTCGTTTCATTGTCCAGAGTGATTCCGGTATATACATGTACCTGTCAGTCCCATAATGCATAGCGATGTACTAACGGGATTCGGTGTAAACATGGCGTAAAGACTTGACTCGTGATCTGTGT